GATGATTCGAACGGAGGCAGAGTCCAGGCTGCTGAGCATCTCCACGTTCTGCAAGACACAAGTGGCCACGTCACTGGGAAAAGCAACCAGGATGTAGTCCAGGGTTCAGTTTTCGCACCATTTTTAAAGGGAACAGGCAACAGGCACCTTCTGAGGAGCACCTGTACTGCTGTTAGAAGGGTTTAAAGGCTGCCGCCTCCTCCCCTCCGCTCCCAGCAGCGATGTGCTGGCTGCCCTTGTGCCACCGCAGGTTACTCTGCTAGCCAGGCCAAACCCACTGCACTGCGGGGGCAAAGGGAGTTCGATTTTGCATTTCACAGCAGATTTATACTTACATAGGAGCATACTTCCAACAGAAGTAATCTGTTGTATCGGTTTGCCCTCCAGAAAGCCAGCGACACTAAGCACTAAAGGCAGAAAGGCCCTTTTATCTCTGCTTGTTCCTTCTCCATATAAAGTATCGCAGACGACAACATCACCAGGACAGAGCTGAGCGCTCAGCCCCACCTCCCCGGCAAAACCTAGGACTGGCACCACAGGGTCAAGCCAGACGACACCAAGAGCTCAGTGCAGGGAAACAGCCCGAGGTACAGCTTATTGCACTCTTCCACCCTGCAGAGTTCCCTGTTTCATGTGCAAGAAGCTGCACCGAATGCAGGGTCAAAAACTGGAGGAACCACTGTGATCACACACCCAAATTCTGCAACCCAGATTAAGTTAAAGCCCATTGATTTCTGCTTCTATTTGGGCATGGTTTGGAAAATACTGAGAGATTTCTGGGCATAAAAAAAGAAAATCTCCACAAACCTTAGTAAACAGTAATACTGGGCAGGATGAGATGGTTACCTGCTACCAGTAGCATATTTCCCAACCGCTCAATCCTCAGCAAATCCAAAAGACACAAGATTTGTTTGTTCAACTGTGAGCCCATTAACTACACCTGTGCTCTGTTCCTACACCTGCTGCTGGGATTTTCTTGACTGAATTCAAGTATAAAGCTCTAAGGTGACTTTTCTTATGGCATTCAATACCAGTTGTGGGGCAGTCAAACGAAGATCACCTTCAGTTACACCCGAGCAGATGACAAAGGCAACCTGCCTCAGCGGTCTTAGACTTCAGTGTGCTTCCCCCAGTGGCTGTGCAAGAAAGAGCTCTGCAAAGCTTTCCCCCCCCTCTCGTTACAAAATGACATTTCCTTAATTGAATG